TCACAACTATGTTACGCAGAACAAGCAAGTTGTAAAAGAATACAGACATTATGATAGCATTTAAGTAATGTTTACAAATACACAAAACAATACTACGTATTGTGTAGGGAGGCATATATTTATAATAAAACTATAGAGAAATGCAAGAGCATAAACTCTAAATTCAGAAGCCTTGTTGCTTCTGGAGGGGAGGGCAAGGGGATGATCAGGAAGGAATTTCAGGTGCACAGCAAATGTGTTCTAGTATTTCTTAAGCCGGATGGGTGGGTGCCCAGGTATATCATGTTACCCTCTAAGTCTGAAAGGTTCCTTCCTAGTTTCTAAAAGTCAGTGTTGCAGTCCTCGGGGCCCTCTTCCCAGGGGCTGGAATGGGGGGTGAAGTAGCACTTGCAGAGGCAGAAGTGGGGTTGTGGGGAGACCAGGGTTCTCAGACCTCTGACGAAGCTTACCATGATGAAGGCAGAGAACAGTAGTCTACTGGGCAGCAGAGAGCAACGCAACCACTCACCCATGTGGGTGGAGACCAAACCAAAGGCCCCTGACTCATGGAACACCCCGCTATGCCCGCCCTACAAATGCCAGCTCTGGCCTCTGAGTATGACTCCTTGGTGACACGACTCCCACAGCACCCCTCCACCTGCCGTCCCCACACACACATACATCTGCCTGGGCTACCCGGTTTGTCAACCCCGTGCTGCTCAGGGACGCAGGGAACAGCCTTGGGGTGATGTCCTTTGGAAGAGAAGAGTTTCTCAGACAAAGAGCCAGCTGCTCCTCAGGCCAGTCATCTGTTCCTATCAGAAGAGTGACTGTCCTGGGCCAGTCACGGGGAAAAACATCAAGAACTTCCTGCCACCGGCCATGGTGGCTGTCAAGGTCTGTCTCTAGGGATTGGGGAGCTTGTTCCTACCTCCCTGTGCCTTCCTTTTGGCAACTCTCCTGTCAAAGAGGGGTAGGAAAAAGAGGGGCAGGCACACAGGCAGGCGGCAGCGGTGCAGCAGGGAGGAGCAGCGAGGCCGGGCAGCAGGCCTTGTCCACTAGGACGCGCTCAGAAACCAAGGGAGCCAGACAGAGGGCAGCCCAATCACTGGGCTACAGAGATTTTAGAGCTGGAAGAGGACACCTTGAAGATACCAGCCAGGGTAATCCTTTCTTTCTGCAGCTGGGACACCAAAGCCAGCAGAGGGAGGAGAGCTGCCCAGGGCTGCATGGGATGTTGATGACACCGAGGGGAGGTGAAGCTCCCTGGTCTCCTGGTGGCCAGCTATGCCCTCGTTACCACACCATGCTACTGCCCTCCCTCTCTCATCCCCTCCCTCCCTCAAAATGGTCCAGGTGAGCACTGAAGGAACAAAGGGAGGTGAGAAAGGAAGAACCCGCACTGAGGCCCCCACTTCCCTGCAACAGCAAGCCATCTGTAACAACACTGGGAGGGTCTGCCTGGAAGGCAGGCTCCCAGACCCTGGGGGTGGGGGTTACATGGATGCTGGATGAACACCTGCTGGGATGTTAGGTGCTATGGAAGGAATTTAGGCCAGATGTCCTCTACGCCCCGCCTCTCGTGCACATGTTAAGCTGCCACTAGTCAAAACACAGACAGAAAGGCAGCTGAGACAAAACAAAGGAAGACCCAGGCAAAGAGGACGCAGCATGGTCCATAGGTGACAGAGGGTAGGCAAGTTTTCCCAAAGCATGGGAAAAAATGGACCATCCTCATCTTCTCTTGAAATCCCTTCAACATTCTCATGATCATCCTTGTTAACAAGGTCAGCAGGGCACTTACTGATGGCTTTACCCTCTTTTGGCCCTGCACTGAGTCTCATTCATTTGTGCCACTCTAGAAGGTAGCACTGACATCACAGAAATTACAGGTGAGGAAGCAGAGGCTGTACCCAGCCAGGTGTACGCGGAACTCTTAAGGCACGTGCTCTACACCAGTGGTTCTCAAAGAGCGGCCTGGACCAGCAGCAGCCTCCCCAGCACCCGCCGGATCAGACATCTGAGGGCACAGCCCAGTGATCTACCAAGCCACCCGGGTGATTCTGATGCATGCTTAAGTTTGCCGACCAAGTGCTCCAACCACTTTCCAAAGCTGCCGACAGGGAAAAACCGACACTTCTCTACCTGGTCGTCAAGACCTTAGGGTCTTTCCTAGCCAGCGGGTCAGCTCCCACTACCCGGCAGAGCCTTACCCCAAATCCACTGCCCAGTCTACTAAGTTCCAGAAGGGATTCAGGACCCACTGTGCACCTCATCATCTTTCTAGGGCCTGGCCTTGCAGTCACCTCCCTCCAGAGCCCCACCTGGCACCCCCAAACTGCTCCACACTCCAGTAGGAGTTACTGCGGGGCACTTGCTGACACACAGTGCCGACCAGGTAGCGCTCACAGCACATTTCTCCCCATTCCGCTACAAGTTCCTGGAGGGCAGAGCCAGCTCTTCATGACCTTGAGCATCAGGCCACTCTGCACAGCACCGGGCACTAGGGCCATCAGAAAATAGTTGCTGACTATCAGAAGGGAAAAAAAAAATGCCTTGGGGAGCAAGTTTTGCGTCTCATCCTGACTCTGCCACTACCTTTCTGGGACAAGTGCCTTCCCATCTCTAAGCCTCAGTTTCCCCACCTGTGAAATGCCCCATTATTCGAGTTTCTTCGATTCTACTCATCCACTGAACAACGCCAGCAGAGCCTGACCCAGGCACTCTTACCAAGTATCAGGGATGCACGCATAAAACTAGAGGTCCAGGCTCACCCTCCTATTCTAGGAAAAGACAAAGACAGGAAACAAGTAAACACTGAAATTACTATATGCCAGACAACTAAGTTCTATACATATACTTCCTCATTCACAAATAAACAAGATTATTTCACAGCATGATAAATGCATGAAAAAAAACACACAATAGTATTATGACAGAAAGTGAAAAAAAGGGGCTACTTTGCATAGAAAGGTCAGGGAAGGCCCCTCCAAGGAGGTGACATTTGAGCTGAGACTTCACAGATAAGGAAGAACCAGCCATGGAAAGAGCTGGGGAAAGGTGTTCCAGGCAGAAGGAACAGCACCTACAAAGCGTCAAGGCGAGAACAAGCTTGGCATGGGGGGGCGGGGGGGGGGGAAGCAGGTGCCATGGCTAAACCGCAGCGAGTGCAGTACTGAGGTAGTGCCCAGTAGAGCCCAGACAGGGAGGCAGACAGACAACCTCCTACAATTCTGAGTGCTCAAATCAGGTCGGCCCGACCCAACCCAGGACATCCGGGCCCGAGTCACAAGCAGCACTAGGGGTAAGGGTATGAGTCAGACCCCACAGCTTCCTGGGGCCCCAAAGGATCTGGTGTGGGCATAGGGGCAAACACCAAGCCTCAGCATGAGTGCCACGACATACCCACGGGATACCCATGGGTAGAGAAATCAGGGTCACCTCAAATATGTAGAACATAGGACACTCACGGCGGCAGCTTCCAGAGGGACATGATCAAGTGCTTCCACGAAGCGCCAGTCCCTGGTCACATTATTTTCCCAGGACACAGTCAGGACAGGAGCCTTGGTAAGTGGAAAGGGAACATGGCCCAGGGTTCAAGGCTTACTAGTCTAGGGCAAGTCTTAACCTTTTGGGCCTCAGTTTCCTCATCTGAACATTGAGACTACTAATAGTGACGATCTCTCCTAGGGTTGCTGAAAAGATTAAATGACATACTGGATGTAAAGCACTGTGCCTGGCACATGGTAAGTGTTTATAAATGTAAGCTGCTATTATTACCATTACTGGTTTTCCACTGCCTCAGTTCTCTCTGCTGTAAAACACGGATATTAGTACAACATCACAGGATTGCCACGAGTTTGTACTCATAAACATTCCAGCCGCCAAATGCAGTATCCATTGTCAGGAATTAAAAAAAAAAAAATGTGAGAGTCACCTTTCCTGACCTCTCATCAGATGCTGAATTCCCCCTCTAGCGTTACCCCACTGTTTGGAAAGTGAGTAAGTGCTGCTTAAATTCCATTCTGACTATGCTGTGAAATTAAAATGATGCATTAGGAATCCACAGATCTCCCTGCAGTCATTCTGCAAGGAGGTGGGGATGGACGTTGCTAATTCTTCTGCAGTATCCACAAAAGTTCCACCCTCCCAACCAAAACACAATATCTCACCTAGTCGCACACAATTCCCACTCACTCCCATACACACAGTTAATGAATGTATAATGCCATGACTCTGATACACACCATCTCTCTCTCTCACACACGTATACAAATGTTCTAGAGTGGAAAAGTCACCCATACATACACCTCTACACCCAAAATCACTCCCAGAAACTCACTACAGCTACCCTAAATCTGCACACAAAGGTCTCGAACACTGTGCAAATATGTTCAACAGAAACAGTGGAGCAGGGACTCTGAAGCCAAATGCCAGCTTTCAGATACTGACTTTGCAACTCCCTAGTTGTGTGCCCCAGTCTCCAAGTGCCTGGGTTTCCTAAACTGCAAAATGGGGACGACAATAATAATACTCATTTTGAGGATGGATGTGACAATTAAATGAGTTTAGATACATGTAAAGGGTTTAGATCAGCACTTGGAAAGCGCCCGGTAAGAGTTATTATTTTCGTCTTCGTTACATGTGCACACAGCTTCCAAAACTGGTCTCCCACATTGTAAACAGACCCACAGCCCGCACACTCCCCGCACCCGACCCACCCGTGCACACTGCCTGCACGCCCTGCACCCGCCTGCACGGTTTCCAGAGCGCTCGCCCAGCGCAGTGCGCACGCGCACCCAACCACCCGCCTCACCCTCACCCGGCAGGGATTCCCCACGCAGCCCGACCCCGGCCCCCCTGGGGAGGCGCAGGCCTCTGGACCTCGCGCACCGGAGCCCAAGAACCGTGGAGCGCAGCCCCCCTGGCCAGGCCTGACCTCCCTCTCCATGCCTGGTCACTGCTGAGGCTCTGAACAGCCCGGTCCGGGACTCCCTTCCTCCTGCTCTATCCCCGCTCTGGACCGGTGGGCTTACCTAAGGATGAGGGCCCTGGAGGACAACGTCCCACGCTCTGCGTCCGGCCCCGTACCCCAGGGACGAGGTAGCGGCCTAGGCCAGGATCTGGCTTCAGAGGACTCCTCTGGCTCCGGGGGTGGGGGTGGGAGTGGGGGTGGCGACGAGGAAGTGCTGGGGGCCGGTCCGTCCCACCCCTGGGAAAGTCCCTGGCGATTGACAGGCCGCTCGCCCAATCGCCCGGGTTCTCCAGACGGAGGACGTCGGGGTGGGATCGTGCGAGGTAAACAGCCGGAGAGCTGGCCTAGTGGCAGTGGGTATTCCGCCCAGCCCGCAGCTAACCTCCGTGGGTTGTAGCAACTTCCCGAGGCACTCCCGGACCCCAGAAGCCCCGGACCCCGGAATGAGGCTGCGGCCACTCTGAAAGCTGGAAATTCAGAGCGGAGATGGGCTGCAGAGACCACCCCATTTTTCCCTTGTGCTGAGGGGCACCCAGGCCAGAACGGGGAGGGAACTTGCCAAAAGGCATGTAGGCATTTGGAGCTAAGCCAGAACTTGAGCTCAAGGCCCCAGCGTTGGTCCGGAGTGCTCCCGGATTTCTTGTTACTGCCAACATTTACTGCTCCAGACATTGTAAGCGCTTTGCATACGTTAATTTGCACAGCCACCCCAGCGAGATGGGTTTTATCCCCTTTTTTACCATAAATAAATATACAAAGCGCAGAGACGTTAGATGACCTCAGTAAGTGAACCAAGATGCAAACCCAGGTGGGCAAATCCAGAGCCAGCCGCCTGCCCTGCCTTCCAAATAGAGCCATGGGCCAGATCATCAAAACAGTCTGTGGGATTTCCCAGATCCGTAAGGGTCAGAAACTTGGTTTAAGGTTGGGAATAGTTATTTTTTTCTTTTTAAGATCATCATTTTATTTAAGAGGGTAAATTTTTATTTCAAAAAGTGGAAGGGCCTAACCTTGGAATAAAGGCCAGCTCTTTAAATTGGGTGAATATAGCTTTTTGAAAAACCTATTGCAAAAGGCTCATTGCATTGGAACAGTTGAAAACAACCGATGACAGGCCCTCATCCTCAGAAAGGATTTGGGGAGCTATTTTACACAGGCCCTCATGTTACAAAAGGAGAGATCTGTCAATCAACTGTGACTATGAACACACGTACATACTCTACCCAAGCATATGCCTAATCCGAAAATTCTTTCAGGCTTTGTGACATCTGAGATGCCGTCACTTACTTCAAAGTTGGTATCAAATTCTCGAAACAATATTCTAGTTCATTTTAATTATGAAAGTAAGTACACATATACCCTGATTTTAAAGAGAGGGAGGGAGCGAGGGATGCAAACACCAAAGCACCATTGTGTGTCACCAATAGGGGAGGGTACAGGGAGATTAGAATCAATATGGCAGCTCTCAGGCATCATCTCTACCCACTGGGCCCCCCAAAACTGGTTTTCTTTCTGAGTTTTGTGTATACTTCCCAAATTGCCTCTTCCTGGAATGCTGTCTTCCTAATCCCAACCCAAATCTTATGAACACTGAAATTTACTCGAAAAATGAAGGGTCTCCAACTATTTGCATTTTGTTTCCAAACTATTTCAGCTGGTTTTGTAAAATGTCTGACCTTAGAGAATTAAGCAAATAGTTTCATACCGCAAAGTGCCAGATGACTCCTAGGTGGGCTTGCTCTAGTATGACATAAAAAGGTCACACAGTCATCTTGTTGCCAGATTTCCTACTTTGGGGTAATTTTTTTAAATAATTACAATGTGTGAGCCTTTTAAGTCTTAGTTTGACTTCAGAACATCCCACCATGTTACAGGCCATGGAGACCATTGATCACAATCCCTTATTTGACAGGTGGGTAAACTGATGCCTCGATGTAGCGAATGACTTGTTCAATGCCACACATACTGAGTGTCACATCCAAGGTTGGAGCCAAGGACCTTGGCTCCCAGCATACGAGGTATGATCAAAAGATACGGTGAATGTTTAAATAAAAAATACATATATATTACAGTAACAGACACATTGCCATTAATCCCCCTCAAAATACTCTCCCTCGCTTCAAATACACTTATTTCATCATTCTTGCCACTTCCTGAAGCAGTTCCGGAAGTCCTCTTTCGTGAGTGTCTTTAGTTGTGCTGTCATGGCTGCCTCCATGTCCTGAATCAATTCAAAACGTTTACCTTTCATGGTCATTTTGACTTTGGGGAAGAGCCAGAAGTCACATGGTGCCAGATCCGGTGAATAAGGTGGATGAGGACACACCGTAATGTTTTTATTTGACAGAAATTATTATACCAGAAGTGATGTGTGACATGGACCGTTGTCATGATGGAGGATGAAGTAAAGACACGAAAGAGAACTTCCAGAACTGCTTCAGAAAGTGGCAAGAACAATGAGATAAGTGTGCTCTAAGCGAGGGGGAGTATTTTCAGGGGTATTCATGGCAATGTGTCTTTTACTGTAATAATTTTTTTTTAATTTAAACATTCACCCTATTTGTTGATCACACCTCATATGTGCTTCTTCTGTTGCACCATGTTGTCTTCACAATGCCATGATTTTTCTTACTTGCAGAAGCTCAACACTCATTTTGAACATAGGCTATGGATCTAACTGATCATCTTCTAACCCCTACTTACTACCTGGGTGGCCTCTCTAAGCCTCAATTGCTTTCTGAAAAATGGACATAATAATTGTACCTACACCTGAGGTGATCATAAGGATAAATGAGATGATGCAAGTAAAGCCCAAAGCTTGGCACACAAAAGGCATTTGAGAAATTGATAGACGTGGATTGCATGCATTGGGTAGAACCTCACAGTTAAACCCAGGAATACAGCCTCACCAGGTTCTTCCCACCATCCACATCCACTATGGTCCCTTAGACTCTGGGAGCCTGCAGGGTGGGAAGCAGGCACCTTAGCTACCCCCAGATCTGGAAGGAGATTTCCAGGCCAGGAACCTGGGCCTGACACTGAGAGCTGAGTGACTCAGGCAGCTGGGAACGTCTTGCTCTTCTAGAGTGACAACAAGCACCTGCACAAAGCCCCACCTGGGAGAAGAATCAAAAGGCCTGTGTTTTGTTTTATTTTGTTTTGTTTTAAAGCACACAGCTTCCCAGTCTTTCTGCCACTCCCCCACTCCCCCACCCACCACCACCTCCACCAAGGCTGCTCCAAAGTCACACCTAAATCCACATTTGAGAGAACTAAGAAACATAGACCCCAAACCACCTAGAACCGATTGAGCTCTCAATCAAGTGCCTAATGAGGAATGGGGGCTGCATATTAAAAATATTAAAAGCTAACATTTGTGAAGTATTTGCTGCATGCTAGGCCCGCACTTTTACATCATGCATCTCCCAACCACCCTCTGAGTTCAGAACCATTATCATCCCCATTTCACAGATGAAACTGGGGCTTGGAGGTGTTACATGACTTGCAAAAGTCTTATACACCAACAATTAACTGGAGCAGGAAGACCCAAGCCTTTAAACTCTTAACACTCTTCAACATTGTGCTATGGAGTCTTGTCAGCCAGCAAGACATAGCATTCAAAATGCTAGTCCTTAGAGGGTCATTAGAAGGCATCAAACCCAGGCTTTTTGCTGTAGGGAGGAAGTTACAAGGGACCAGAGAGGGGCAGGGATGTACCAGGGGTCTCACAGAGGGTTTGCCATTAGTACGCAGGACTGGAACCCAAGTCTCCTGCTCCCAGAGCACTGCTATCTCCACATGCCCCACTGATGGGAAATGAGCTTCTAAAGCAAACAAGCACATGTATCACTCCAGTACGGGAATTGGGGCCTTGGCTAGGGGGTCAGTGACACTCGGGGCAAGCAGCTAATGAACAAAGAAAAGGGTAACCCCGGATCCGGGTCCCTTCCTTAGATCCGGTCTCACGTCTCCATAGCTCAGGGCAATCTTGGGGATGTACCCCCCTACACACGTGGATTCTAGGTGCTTTTTGGTATTGGGTGTGTATGTATAATGAGACAGATTTCAGTGATAGTTAAATGAGAAATGCATGTCAAGCACATGATGTTGACTGAAGTTGTACTAGGTAATCATGTTTTTTGGTAAGAAGAAAAATCAGCGAGCAGAGTCTAGGGTCCCTGCTTCCCACCCTCAGCCAGAGACGGCATTTTTCGTTCTCTCTGCCTACCTCCCAAGTCACTGCACGAGGGCATAGATACGACGGTGGTTAAGACAGCCATAACCCTTAAGGTGAACTAAACCATATCAGACCCACAGTTGCCCCTCCTCCAAGAGGCGAGTCCTGCCAGGGTTGGGGCCTGGGCTCTGGAGTCAGACAGACCTGGGCTTAGATCACAGCCCCGACACTTGCCCTTCGTGACTGCTCTCTGCCTGTTTCCTCAGCCATAACATGAAGGTTAGAACAGGGCCCAACGCACAGGGTGGAGTGAACGAAATGCCACTGGGCCTGGCATCAGTGAAAGGCAGCCACGATAATTATGATCATCAGCCCTCTAGGGTGGGCAGGGATTGTTGATTTCCTTTTTCCGGGGAGGACCCCAGGGCTTGCCCTAGACCTCACAAAGTGTGTTCTCGCAAGTGCCAGGCCTGGAAGGCGTTCCTGCTTGTTCTTCAGGGTCTTTCCTGTTTTCCTCTTTTTCCATCCTAACTGTGTCCCTTGCATCCCTGGACCTGCCTGTTCCTCTAGGGTTTCTAGGGCACCTCTGGAGGAGAGGAAAGGGCAAAGTGACACTGGGGGAAATTCCCGGCCTTGTAGCCTGCGTGGCCTCACCAGGCCCCTCCCACAGGCACCCCGGGACTCCCCTGCTCCGGCTCCTCTCCCTCTGGCTCCCTGCCTCCAGGTCAGGGTGTCAAGCCAGATCTGGGTTTAGATCCAAGCTTGCCCCTTGTCATCCTCCTGGAAGTGGGAAGAGGTCAGCCAGGCCCAGCCCAGTCCCTGAGGGAGGCAGATTCATGGGAACCAAGGGTGTTTCCTAATCTTGGGAAGTCCTGACAAGGCCCTGAGAACAACCCTCTTTCAGCCTCACCTCCTGTCCTCTCATGCTCACTCTGCCAGGGCCACTCCTGCTTCTGCCTCTATTCTTCTCCAGCCCAGAAGCTACTGTGACAGTGACTTGGCCTCCACTCCTTGCACCTCCTAGCCAGGGACTTCCCTGGGCTGGGCCTCTGACCAGCTTTGGAAAATCTGGACTGTTTGAGATCAAAGAGGAGGCCCATTACCACTGTCTGGCAGCCTTTTCACCCACTCCTAGTGCCTCCGGCTCTCTGTTAAAGGTTCAACCACAGAAAGGTCCAGCTGCCCCTGGAGTAAAGCAGATGGGGGAGCGCACCAGAGATCCACTTGCTCTAGTGTTAAGGGGGGGTCCCAGCCTTCCATCAAGTCCCCAAGGAAAGCAAGCTGGGGGGGGACTCCCACCTGGTTGCTTCCTGTCTAGTTTTAGATCACTAAAGTGCCCAACACACACCCACACACTCACACGATGACCCAGACACAAACACACTCACACAGAAACATGCACGCTTTCACTCACACGGACATACACTTATACACCTCAGTAGATCTGACACACACTCACAAACGTAGATATACATTCTCTCTCTTTCACACACACACACACACACACACACACACACACACACACATCTACATTCACACTAAGGAATCTGCTCCCTTTTCTTAGGGGAAGGATAAGACACACATAGACTTTTATTTTCCTTTGGAATAGCTAGTAGCGACTAGAAAGAAAAGGATAGGCTGAAAAGGCAAGGCAGGAAGGGAAAATACATGGAGGGAGAGAAGTTGGAGGCGAATGGAGCTAGGCAAAGAGGCCAAGAGGCCCTGAGCCCAAGTCCTGAGCGGGGAAGAGGAGGGTGGGCTGGGAGCAGCCCAACCCCAGCTGTCAGGAGAGCGGGAGGCCAGGTAGCTCTTGGCCCAGAGCTGGGAGGGTCCCTTGCGCAGGGAGCCCTTTCCCTGTCTTGGCTCAATGCCCACAAGCTGGGTCACTCACCTGGGGAAGGGCAGGAGACGAAGGTGTGCGCAGCGGGGGCTGCCGGCCCTGTGAAGCTCCTCAGCTCACTGCTTCTGCAGGAAGGAGGGCTGGGCTGGGCTGACTTTTAGGCAGGAGGGGAATTCCCCGAGATGGAGGAGCCAGGCAGCCACACACAACCCAGCTAGGCCCCTTCCCGCCCCCTGGCAGAGCACAGGGCCCTTGTGTGTCAGTCCCCACCTGTCACTTCCCAGACTGGCTGCCACTTGCCGTGAGTGAATTCCAGGGAAGCAGAGAAGGCTCAAGGGTAGAGCTGGAAGCCTGCTGATTGTGTGGCTGGCCTGGGAACGGGCAGAGGGGCAGGGTAGGGGCAACCTGGCCTGCACACCCTACCCCACCTCCGGTTTCTCCCAAGGATCTCTATTTCCTCCTTTGCCTAAGGTGGGGGATTCCGCTGCCCAGGACCCTGAGGAAATCACCAGATGCCCAGCCCACATCCTCCTGCCCCTGATCCTATCCCATCTGTTTCCACTTAGTCTCTGTGGATCTCCACAGGGAAGGGAAAGCTTACTATTTCTCTCTGTGCCAGGTCTCATTCGGATGTCAAGTGGGGCCTTAGAGACCTACCCACCAAGGAACAGCCCAGCTCTGCACTAACCAGCACATGCTCCTGAGCCTCAGTGATCTCCTGCTTTAAATGGGGATGAGTCCTGCTTTGCCCACCTCCCGCGATGGTAATTAACATAAAATGATGGTTTGCGGACATCCTTTGTAAACGATTAACTACTTTACAAACATAGGGTCTCCGCTCATTATCTGCTGAAAGATGCTGAGGCAGGTGATGGGGGGGGTGGGCATCTGGATGAGCTGGCCTTTCTTGATCATTCCTGGTTCAGAGTTTCTTTGCTCTTACAGTTTCTTTGTGGTCTTATAGACCACTGAGGTTACAGAAATGGACAAGTCAGACCTGTTTCCTGCTTACTCGGAACTCAACAGACTTTGGGGCTGCCCTGTCCGGCACAGTGGCCCTTAGTCACTCATGGCTATGTAAGTACAAAACTGTTAAAATTAATTAAAATCAATAATTCAGTTCCTCAGTCGCACGTTTCAAGTGCTCAATAGCTACGTGGGGCTACCACATTAGGCTGCACACATATAGACTATTTCCATCATTGCAGAAAATTCTAGTGGATAGCATTGGTCTGGGGGCTGTAGGCAAGTTAATAGGTAATTACAATCAAGTGAGGTAGAGATGTGTTTCGACAGGGGAAATACAGGGAGCTACAGGAGCCTGGACAAGGGAGCATCTGGTCAGAATTTGGGGATCTGGAAAGTCCTCCTGGGGGAAGTGACACCTCAGCTGAGACCTGAAAGTAGCCAAGCAAGAGTGTTACGGAAGAGTATTCCCAGCAAAGCGAGTAGGTCTGCAAAGAGAGCATGGCGTTTGAATTAGGCAAGGGAGAAGGCACAGAGATGAGCCTGGAGAAATAAGCAGACCAGGTCACAAGGGGCCACAGTCAGCTCTGGGCTGGGGTCGGGAGGGAAGGGGGACAGTCCACTGAATCTAATCCTCAGCTGCTCCTGTGCCCTTCGGACTGGGATTCCACGGGGGATACTAGAGAGATCTCCTGGCCCAACGGTCTCACTTTATAGGTGAAGTGACTTTCCAAGTGAGTAAAGGGAGGGACTTCCTGTCTCCTAGTCCAGTGCTCTTGCCCATAACACCCTCAGTCCCTTGGTCTCAGTTGCCACTTTTTAAACGTTCAATAGCCACATGTGGCAAGTAGCTACCATTTCAGACTGTACAGATATTTCCATCGTTGCAGAAAGTTCTGTAGGACTAATGGCACCAATCCTTGAGCTAGACCAGGCACAAAAAAATGATACACTTCCCTCCACGTAGACCGTTTTCTCTGCTGGGAGTAAAATACACCTTCTCACATCCATGCCGTCAGATGCTCCCTCTGATACCAAACTACAGGGCCACCCTCACCCATGTCCCCAACAGCGCAGAAGCAGGCATTGGGGCTGGTGGCAACACTCAGCATCAGGGAGCGAGATCTCGTCCCCAGCTCCCTTCCTGGAGAGCTGGGATCAGCCCCCTGGGTCAGCCAGAGCTTTCTGTAAAATTGAGGAATGGCCCTTTGTTGAGGAAATAGTTTCAGATTCCTCACCAGTGGAATGCATCATTCAGCCCTGATGTCTCCGGATTGCAACTTTCCCTCTATACGCTATGTTTTCTCTCCAGAGGATGCAACAATCATAGACGCTCTGTGAGTTCACGAAGCCCGGCTTGGACCAGTTCCTGTTCATGGAGTCTTAGGTGGCAGTGATGACCTTGAAGGGCTAAGGAGGCTGAAGGAGCTGGACCCACAGGAACTGGAACCTCCAGTTAGGAACACTTGGCTTGCACATCTTGGGGGAAGATTGGCACTGAGAGCAATCTGCTTCTCCCACCTTCTCTTCCACCTCTTCTTTCTTCCAGCAATGAATTCCCTGAAATTGCCTTCCTTGTTCAGGCCATGGGATAGACATCAAGGAAGAAGAGGCCCTTGGGCTGGGCATCAGAAGAGCTGAGTTTGAGTCCTGGTTCTGCTGTGTGGTCCTGGGCAAGTCCCTTCCCCTCTCTGATCCTCAGGTTCCCCTTCTGTGAAAATGTAAAGGAATCAGACCAGATAATCATGAAGGGACCTTCCATTCTGACACTGTAAAGAAGTCTAAAAGCGTAGAGGAAGGGGAAATCAGAGCAGGCCAAGATGGTCAGGAAATAATAACTCTAATAGCTAATATTTAAGATTAACATACCAGGAATGGTATTAAGTGCTCTTAAATGCATTAGTGCATGCATTTCTCATCAGAACCCTGAGAGATTGGTACTGCTATTTTACAGATGAGGAAACCAAGGCTCACAGTGGCTTAAGCCAACAGCTAATAAATGGCATAGCTGGAGTTCAGACTCAGGTAATATCTCCAGAGCTCACCTGGAGGAGATGAGACCCCTGCTGTTCAACCAAAGATGGGGTGAAATTTGGATACACAGAGGGAAACTCTCAATAGGTCCACTCCTTTGATACTTAATTATCCAGCCCCATCTCTCCCACCCTGACCTCTCTGGTCTTGTTGATGTTGTGGGAACAGCACTGGGCCGGTCTCATAATAGTCGATCAATATTTATTGAGCGAATGAGTGGATTTGACCCCGTGGGTTTCCTGATTTGCCAGTTCTTCTGAAAGCTCCCCAAGGATGAGGACTCTAGCCCGGGACCTAGCCCAGGATACTGGGCAGAATGCTGGTTCCCACCATAGACTTAAAACATCAGACTCCCGGGTGGGGGGGTGTGCCCTAGAGGCAGCATTTTTAACAAATGGTCACCCTTCTCAGGGGTGACTTGAGTATCTAGTAGAGTTTGAGAAGTCCAAGCTTGCTAAGCTGGGTCTCCCAACTCCAAAGTAAGAATTAACTGCTCAGAGACAGGCAGCCAAGGAGCGTTCACTGTGATGAACTATCCGGAGGTACCAAGTGTGCTAGTACTTCTCTGGGTCCCACAAGCATCCAATCCATGCCTTTTGAAAAACACTGAGTCTCCAAACATCTGCTAGGTACCAGTCCCACTGCCATTCCTGACTCACCACGTGACCTTAGTAGTATTTTCCTCTCTCTGTCCCTCATCTTCCTCATCCATGAAAGGGGATCAATTCTCTTTGCCCATCTATAACTCTGGAAATAGCTGTGTGTCTAGAAGGGGTGCCCATTGGGATAATTTCATAAAGAATATCATAGGTCAGGGGCTTGTCAACTTTAGTGTCGTCAGAATCCTCTGACCCATTTGGTCTTGGGGGAGGGGGAGGAGGGAAGGCCTTAGATCACTGGTTCTCAGCCTTGGCTGCACCTTAGAATCACCGGGGAAGCTTCGTAAAAATACAGAGGTCCAGACTCCACTCCAGACTCATTACATCAGAATCTCAGGGGGGTGTTGTTGTAGCTGCTCACTCGCAGTTGTGAAGGAATTCACATCAGATAGAAATGCAGAAGGAAGATTTATTAAAGTAAGAGGAGCATCGGCTGGGCAGAGTCTGTTGGAAACTACTGCCCCGAGTCCTGGTTTAGTCTCGTTTTATATTTTCTAACCAGAATGTAAATTGCTTCAGCCTGAGTTTGGCTTTGTCTGTTGGGGTTGGGGTTGGGGAAGGTGTAGTTAAGCCAGTTATAGCAACCTTGGCATATGTGAAGTTGGAGCCAGGACTGGATCCCATACAGATGGAAAATCTTTCCCAAGTCACAGCGCCAGCACTGGGCTGAAGTACATAGAAACATTGAAACTGGTGTGCATAATAAATGTGTAGGAAGCAGAATTATTAACAGTTGGCAGAAAGGAAGCGGTGCAAAGCGAAGAAAGAAAAGAAAGCTTTCAAAAAGTCCCAAGCTAAATTACACTTGTTAATTCAAATTCTACCAGAGATCCAAATCCTAAAGTAGAAGATTTATACTCAGCTATAAAGAAGAAGGAAATCATACCATTTGCAACGATATGGATGGAACTAGAGAACATTATGCTAAGTGAAATAAGTCAGTCAGAGAAAGACAAATGCCATATGATCTCACTTATATGTGGATTCTAAAAAACTGAATAAATGAGAAATGTAAATAGAAATAGTCTCAGAGACACAGAGGAAAAACTGAGGGTTGCTAGTAGGGCGGGGGTGGGGATGAAGGAGAATGGGAAGGGACGAGACAATACAAATTGGTAACTACAATATGGCCGCAGGGATAGAAAAGACAGTCTGGGGAATATAATCAATAATGTTGTAAATATTTTTTAGGAGGCCAGTTGGACTCATGTCTGGTCAAGGAGACCACTGCATAGACAGTGTAGAGGCCTGACCACCGCACTGTATTTCTGAAGCTGATGTTGAATAATATTGTATGTCAACTATAATTATATATACATATAGTCACGGGACATGGAGTAGAGTGTGGGAATGGAGTCAATGGAATTGTAATAGATAAGCATGATATCGGGGGTGGGAGGGCAGTAGATGGGGGAGGGGGGTTGTTACTTCGTGAGGGGTGAAAAGGATAATTATTATATTGTTCTGTACACCTGAAACTAATAAAAAATTAATAATAATAATAAAGTAGAAGATTTAGTGCCACCATTACAATCTCCCTGTCTCATCAGATGTGGCCTGGGATTGGTATTTTAAAAGCATTCCAGGTTATTCAAAGTTGTAACCACTGCTCTCTAAGCTGCCATTCTAACAGTTGGCTTTGATGCAGGTGGTCCCAGGACCTCACTATTTCTTGGGGGCTACTGTGGTCTCGCCCAACTTGCTCCCATTTTTGTACCACAGCAGGTGCCTTCTCAGTACCAGGGTCAGGCACTGTGAGAACAACGGATTTTAGAATCAGGGGAGAAGAGAGCTCTGTTCCACTTACGGTGGGTCACAGAACATTATACGTGGTAGGTGTGTATGGAAAAATGAAAACTCAAAACCAAGTCATGACGAGGAGAGGAGGTATGTGTAATCCTGTCAGCATCTGAAAAACAGGATTCAGGGACACATTTTGCAAAATAGTGCTTTCCAAGGAACCAGATATAAGGCAGTATGTTGCAAGATTCTTGTCAAAGGAAGAAATCCAAGGACAAATGTTGCAAGACTGTGCTGCTAAAGGAAGTGGCTTCTTAGCCCATCAAATCTGGAACAAAGCTTAGAGATTATCTTAACAACTCCACCACCACCCCACCACCACCACCTTCACCACCCCCACCCTCCACCCCCGCTGGACAGAAGAGGAAACTAGGGCCATGGGAGGGGGAGGCATATGCTCAGGGTCAGGCAGAGTGTTGGTGACAAGCTAGCATCACAGTCCAGGCTTCCCGACCCCCTCTGCCTGCTGACCTTTTCCTCTAGTCCTCAAATATCTACCATTTCCGCTCTTGCTTCAGGTCTCCAGAGCCCCCTCTATGCTCCCACTTTCATGGACAGCACCCAAGGTCAAAGGATGGGACTAAATCTGTGAGCCTGGATCTACACCTGCCAGATAACAAAGGCCAAAGCCAACAGGAGGCTGGCACATGTTGAGGGGGAAGGAGAAATGTCTGATGATAAGGCCTGACCTCAGAAAGGAAGCCTGGTCACCGGGGGAATTTCCCCGAGTGAGGTCTCATGTCTATGCAAATATTGTACTGCAATTAACCTGGACCCCAGGATAGGAGAAGGGCGAGGAGAGAGAGGACAGTGGGGGAGGGAGGGAAGTGAGGAAGGCAAGGAATAGGGTTTGAACCTCTCCCTTTTCATTTTGTCCCTGAAACATCCTCCTAAGTAGGAAAGTTGGGAGCCTGAGGCCAGTGTGTGTGTATGTATGCGTGTGTGTGNGCGCGTATATTTGCCCAAGAGAACACCATACATTCAGACTCCAAGGGGACACCAGGCCTCAGGGGGAGGCAATGATGATAATGGACTTGCTGCTGCTGCTGACAAGGATGACAGTAATTAGACTTGAGTCTGAGAAGTCTGACAGTTTCATTTTAGGTTTCCATCTCACTCACCAGGGAGTTTTATCTTGGGAACAGCTGAAAGGCATCGCATAGGGAGGTAGTGACCTTGACTCCCTTTGGGCAAAACCCAGTGAGCAGACTGGTAGAGGGTATGGCAGCTGGTGCTGTGACCCCTTTCACCTCGAGCTCCTAGAATATTCCTGGAGAAGTGAACGGAATGGGAACAATACTTTTGAAGGAAAATCTCTCTCTCCTGCCTCTTCCCATTTCACTCACATTGAGCCCCACTACTACCAAGAATCCTTCCCCAGAGATCCCGCTCCATTCCAAGGCTGATCCCACTTACTGCCTGGTTCTCCAGGGAGCTGGTCTTGCCTCCCCTGAGCAGGTCAGCAACCTGGACCGGAGCTCAGGTCAGGGCGATTAGGTCCAAAGTTTGTCCTCACAGGGCCTGGCTGTTTCTCCTCCAATCGAAGAAAGTACAGGAGAGCAGGCAGGCTGCTGATTCTTGAGTTTTGTGCTGCACAGAAAGCTGTGTGTCAAGAAAAGTGTGAGTGTATATGTGCCCCAGAGGGTATGGAAAGCAAGTTTGGGGATTTGTGTGAGGCCAGTAGTAGTACACTGACAACAATGTCTGTATTTCTGTTTGTTACCAGTGTGGACGGAAAAGGGGTCACATGGTAAACCTGACAAGCTCAGGAGACTGAAAATAACCACAGAGGATGGCGTGAACATAAAAATTCCTAACTAAGGTGGGCCATGGCGGGAAGTCACATCCTTGGCCTGTAGCTTCTTTGACAAAGGTCCATCTTTACCTTAAGCCTGTCTGTCGTCTTCTTGCCTCTAAGATAACATACCCTTGCAATATCAGAGTAATATCTTTTTCCAGACCCCTTAGAGGGCACAACCCACCACACTAGAGCAGGAAACTAGTCCCTCATCATTATCTTGTTCCCCAAATACTATTTCTATATGCTGTAAAGTGCTATTAACTATGCTCTACCCACCAATGTAAAAGAAGTGTGTGTCTCTTCATTTTATTTTTTATCCAATCCCAGAGATTTCCCTGCTTTGCTTTCTCCCACCCCTTAATCTACCACCAATGGATTTCATGTAAACTTCCTCCTTTGATTCTAATGTACAAAATAAGTTGCAAAACAGCCATTTTCTGGAGCATTTTCTCAATCCTTTGAGACTTTGCTTCCTGGCAGTTGTCAGTTTGGCTCCAATAAACTCTTATAAGTGTTCTCTTAGGCTGGATGTTTTTCTTCGACACCAGCAGTGTACTTGTGGGCCTAATCATTTTATTGTTCTCTATGTGGCCAACAAGGTGTGCTTCTGATTCTGGGTGTACAGAATGTACATCCCTGTGGGTATGACTGGCAGCGATTTGGAATCCTGTGTGTCTGATAAGTAGTATTTATGGGCTCTGAGTGAATAACAGATATGTGGGAAAGTAGGAATGGAAATTGCTGGCCCAGCTCAGACTTAGGATCTCTATGCCCACCCCCCACCCTCCCTGCTCCATCAGGCCCTCTTGTCCCTGCCCATGAGGCCTGATGGAGCAGGGAGGGTGAAGGATGGACAAGGTCCAAGGTCCAAGGTCCAAGGCCATCTCAATGGGATAGCCACTAGGGGGTTCTGACTGCAGCTGGCAGCACAATAGGCAAATGGTGGTAGCTGGGAGGAAGGGGTGGGACCATCCCACAGAAGGAAATGTGTGCTCTGGAAACTGCTGCAACAGCTGAGCCAGGGGAGCAGGGCTCATTCCTAGATGGCTCTGCTTTAGGGCTTCCTCAGTCCATACAGAGATGAGAAGGCAGTGGGATATGGCCTGCACCTGGGGCCTCCGGCCTCACATCCTGCCTTTACAAGCACTTCCTGCCTCTGGGTTCCCAGGTAATGACTCCTGGCTTGACCTCTGCCTCCTTTTCTCATGGGGATAGTTGGGGTAGTTCTCTTGGTTTCTTGCCCTACCTCCATGTCTTCTCTTTTCTCCATCTCTTGCTTCCTCCACTCTGGCTCAGGACTTCATCCCTCCACAACCGGGGACTAACTGCACGCCTATCCAATGGTCTCCCAGCCACTGTGCTGGTCTCCGTCTTCACAGTGGACCCCAGAGGTATCTTTCTAAAGGACATCTCTAATCATACTGCTCTCATCCCTAGTGCATTCTGAGGCTGGCCAGGGCCTGGAGGGGAAGTCCACATTCTAGCCTGGACCCTCCGTGACCTTCCCGGATGGTGTCCTCACACTGAGTGTGGGGCCCAAGGCTCAAGGAGCTTTTCCCATTGTCTCTACCTCCCACCTCTGTGCTCTTGCTCAAGCTGTTGCCTCTGCCTGGAACTCCCTCCCGCCTTCAATATCTTTTACTGTTGAAAGCATATCTACCCATCTTTCAAGATGCCTCCATGCTCCTTTCCAGGGAACTGTTCTCAGGCCTATGTTCTGTGGCCTCTGCATTTGGTACCACTTACTACCGTGTGCTTGGTTGAATTTTTCTAATGATTTTAGCTCTCTAAGGGTTAGAGGCATAGTGTAGGGACAGTAGTCGTCAGAGGCTGTTTTAAGAGATGCGCCCCCCCCACCCGCTTTCTCCTCTATGAAATGGAATCCAGCCTATTTATCAACAAAGAGCTGATATCTACTGAGTGCTTCCTCTATTCCGAACAGTGATATACATGCATTGCCTTATTTAATCTTCACAACAACCCTGTGAGATAGACACCTTTGTCATTCCCAATTTACAGATGAGAAAATCTAGAGGCCAAGTGACTTACCTATTTCTAAGTGACAGGCCTGCCTGTCTCCGTAGATCTAACCACTTATACAACTAGAATTTCCCACTTGCTTAACTCCATCCATAAAGTGGGGAAGTCAGCCTTGGGGAACCTGAGGTCTGAGGGGAGTGGAGAGGCCCGTTAGTAAAGCTGATTTACCGCTGGACACTTCTCCCTCCCATTCTCAGCTCAGTTTGGCTTCCACCATCAAGAGAAAGAGGACCTATTGGCAGAGAGAGCAGAGCAGGAGGCAGCAGACTCAAGTGCTAGCCCCAGATCTAACCTTTACTAATGCCATGGTCACATTCCTCTGGGCCTCAATTTCCAAACTTGTGAAACAAGAGGTTTGGTTTGGATGATCTCCACTCCCTCCTGGGCCAGAGCTCAGTCCATCTATTCTCTTCAGACAATTGGTTTTTCCATTCACCAATCGGACCCGCCGTTTCCTCAGCAGAATGAGGTCACCCCTGCACTATTGTGAAGGAAGGCATGGCTGTGGAGAAGCTTCTCCCGTGGGAGACTCTGGTGGCGACTCACTGCTCTCAGCAAAGCTGGGGCACAGTCAAGATCGAGGGGTTTCAAATAGCTATTAGTTCCCACATTGCTTCTCCAATGGCAGGAAATGTGACGGTGGCGATTCCCAAACAGACGCTCTCTGCTGGGTCAAAAGTGCAACCCCCTCCCACCCAGCCACTTCCTTTAGACATTTCCTTGTGGCCCCAAAGACCAAGGTTGGTACATCCCGGTCCAGAGCTTCTGAAGAGGGTTTGCCCTGAATGGGAAATGCATTTCTCAAGGCTGGAGGGGTGCAGTGAGGGGGTACACTGGGTTGAAGGCTCCCCTTGGAGGGGAGGCATGAAGAAAGCAGGACGTTCAGTGTGTGTATAAAAGCACTGAGCCTGGGCCAGGACCGTAGCGTTCCAGCTCCGGCTGCCGCTAAATTCCTGTGAACCCTGGGCCAGTTACTTCCTCTCTGTGGAAGTGACAGTTGTCTTTCTGTAACTGAGAGAAGGAGGTGAGAATTTCTGAGGGCCCCTTCCACACTGAGAACATTTGTAACCATCCTCCTTTGCTCCCACTTTGAGACGGCCGCGGTTTGGGCCTCTGCTTTCTCTTTTAGTTTTAATTTAGTCCTCACTTCTCTCCCTTGAACTTCAGCCACAGAAGTGGTGGGTGGGAGGGACACTCAACCAGAAGCTTTTAAAGACGAGGACCATGACGTTCTAACTTTTTCTATCTTTAGCATATAGTATGACATGGCACATAAGAGGCATTCAATAAGTATAAGCTGCATGAATGAAAGAAGGAAGGAATGAGTAGTGAATGAGGTGCCTTAAATTCAGTGGCTACTCCCTCCTGTGCCGGGGCTCCAAGAAAAAAATGTGGTTTGTTCTGCAGGCACCTGGGTCTTGGCAGATTGTTGCAATAGCCTCCCAACTGGTCACCGCCCTTTCTATGGTTTTCTTAAAAGCATGGCTACACGGACACTTCCCCACCCAAGAAAGGCTCCCCCTGGGTTATAAGATAAAATCCTGACATACAAAGTCCTCTATAATTCCGTACAAACTCCCATTTCTAATCTCATCTACCTAACCCCACAAACCCTGAGGGTCCCACTCCTGCTACTGACCAATCCCAGAAGGCAACCCACCTGAACTGAAAATTAAGTGAAAACTGCACATCAAGAGATTAGAACAACAACAAAGAGATTAGAGCAGTGTCTCGTACATCACAAGTGCTCAGTTTGAGCTACCCTCATTCCTTGGTGTCTAGGAATTCTAGAAATTCCGGGTTTCTCCACGTCTATGTTCCCCTTGGCCTCATGGGCCCTCCCAACTTCTATTCCCTCTGATTCCATTGCTCTTTCCTTTCCGCTCTCAGCCTATTTTTCCCTTGGTCCATATTTTTAAAGGAAATTTCATATTTGTCTTTGGATACCTCTGTGATCTACAGCTGACTTCTTGAAAACGAAGCTCAGAAAACATCTTGGGATCCATGACTCAGCTCTTACAATGGGGCCTGGCTCAGCGCAGGTGGTGCTGACAGATGACGCCACGCCAAGCAGGCCCTACTCTGCACTTCCGTATATCATCTCACTTACCCCACAAAGGCTACAAGATAAGCAGAACTGGAGGCCCCTGTTTTACAGATAAGGAAACTGAGGCTCAGAGATAACATGCTCACAGCCAGTTAACGGCAAAGGTCTGACTCCACGGCTCTTAACTATTTTGTTAATTTATATTTTGGTAATAGTTAAATTGGGAAAATAGCCCCAAAAGCTCAGCTGGCTCTCATGGGGTTTGGACTCACAGCCTGGTGGCAAGAAGTGGTGAAGACATAACAAGGTCAATTGTCTTACTTTTAGACTCATTTTGTCAAAGGTGAAGAGACAGCTCTTCAAAACTGTTGGGTCCAACCCCACACTATACAAATGAAGAAACTGAGGCCTAGTGAGGGTAATGGTTCATCCAAGATCACACACTGAGGGAGGGACAAGACCAGACCCAGCCATCTCCCAATCACCCATGGTCCCTGCACAGCTACTACAATAAACACACAAGGAACCGCCAGGCTAGGTCAGGCTGGCCAGGCTAGGGAGCAGGACTCCTCTAGCCAGCAGGCACCACCACACCATGATTGCGGGACAACTTTAGATCCAAGTCTCAGAGTAGAAGCAGAGCTGGGGGAAGGGAGGCAGAGAAACTGCAGTCGATTCTACTGCTTCTTATCAGTGATCTTCACAAAGTGGAAACTTTCCACGGGCCTCCCCAGATCACGATCTCATCTGCTGCCCTTGAAGAATTCAAAAAAGGAAGTTTGGGTTTGGTTGTAATGGATGAAGAGCACACAGAGAAATATCCAGGGAGCAGAGGGAGGAAACGGGGCCCCAGACCCAGAGCTAGGACTCTCCTA